ATAGCACATGAGCTGCTAATCTGACGGCCATTGCTCTGCTGTGGGCTGGGTGGCTGCTTGTCTGCACTGACAACTGAGAAACCTGTCTTCAAGCAGGCTTCGCTATTTCCAGCTGAATTCTCTGCCTTTTGGCATGCTGGCCTCTGGTGTGTCAGAATGAATCACTTGGCATTTGAACTCCGTAAGAGCCAGAGTTTAATGAAAAGGCACTGGACGAGAACTTCCCAGTCTCATCTCAGTACCCCCACCCCCCACCCCCCACCCCCCCCCCCCCCCCCCCCCCCCCGTCCCACCACGCCCAGCCTCATCCCAACTCAGGTGGAATTTTACCTCCCCCAGCAGTGAAGAGCAGCAAGTCTGAGCTGTCCAACTGCTGATGCCAGAAGCTCAGGCTGGGGTTGGAATGGACAGAGGCAAGGTGAATGAGGGAATAAAAGCATAAAACCAAAGCACCCACTCTCGTAGATCCCAAAATCAATTGAGGAGGAAGATAAGATACCAAAGGATTACATCATGTTGTACAATCTTGTATCAGGAAAGAGCTAAGGAACTTAGGAACAAATAATTGACAGATCTGTCTACATCTGGATAAATCCAAAATGAAATATTTAAGTCTTTGGAGCACTGGGCAAAACCTAAGGAAATTCTTCTTGTACAATCGAAGAATTGCAAGGCCATTTTAAGGCCTAAGTACAATAGAGGACCCAGAAGCCATTAATGAAACAGCTGCATAAAGATATTCCCTATGGCAAGAGCTGCAAACTAGCCAAAACAACAAATGCCAACCTGAGGGAAAAAATATTTGCAAGTCATACCACAAAAAGGCCAATTCCCCTAATATAGAAAGAGTACACACAAATCAATAAGAAAAGCACGAACTGTCCATCAAAATGTAGGTAAAGGACAAAGCATACAGATCACTGAAATGAAAAGCCATCAGCATCACTTATATGACAGGGCAGTTGGGCCTGGGAGATGGTGGAAGAAGACAGAGACCTGGGTTCAAATCGAAAGGACATGTAAGAAACCTGGTGTGGTGGTGGATGCCTATAACCCCTACAGGGCAGGGATCAGGTAGACAGGTAAATCCCTGAAGCTCCAGCCAGTCTAGACAAATAGATGGCCTTCAGGGTCAATGACTCTGTCTCAAAAAAAAAACAAAAAAAAAACCAAAAAAAAAAAAAACAAAGTGGAAGGCCATCAAAGAAAGCCATGTGATGTTAGCCTCAGGCCTCCCCTCCATCTGCAAGCACACACAGGCACACAGGCACATACCACACACACACACACACACACACACACACACACACACACACACACACACACGCGCGCGCACGCGCGAAAACAACACTACTAAAATCATAGAGATACCATTTATTATCTTTAACACTGGAACCAATAAAGTTTAAAAATCCTCACTTGGAGGTGAACAGTGCAGGTGTCTGTCACTGTACACACTGACACAAAATGTAAAGAGACAAATTGTCAACATCTTCCAGCATCACAAATGTGCTTCCTTTGACTCAGCAGTTTCTGAAGCATTTCTCCTGTGGAGAGCGTCTAACTGAAGAGAAATGGCATTGGCTGCAGCGTTGTTTGCATTATCTGATTAGTTTTTAGCAGTAGCCCTGCTATTTTGATGAAAAGATTGGGAGTCTCATCAAGACAGCCATGGTGCAGTAAGGTCTGCACACACAAAGGAACTCCATGCGGGTAGCAACAGGGGTGCCTGCCCTTGGTGATGAGGATGAGGGTGGATGATGTGCCCTTTGCAAGGTGCCGGACAGTTTACTCAGCACACCACCATTTCTTCGTATATAACCAGCTATTTTCAAGAGTGAGCTCAGCATGTTTGTTCCTCCTGGGTATTTTTGCACACGCTGTCCCTTCATGGAGGTTGCCCATTCTCTATGCTTGATAGAAAAAATTCTTCTAGGGCAATTTCAAATATCTCTTCCTTTATAAACCTTTGCTGATATTCTCTCAATTGAACATGTCTGTAAAATTATTAGAATGCTAAGGTTTGGGGAAAGATAAATCCTAATAACTCATAAATGAAGAAGTTTCTTCTTTATAAGGTAGACTGAACTTGGAAGGAATGTTTTATGTGGTTAAAGCTGTCAGAAATGGACCAAAAATGCAAAACCTGACACAGAGAGGAAACATTTTGCAACGTTGATGACAGAGACTTATTTATCCAGATGTAATGAAAGTCTCACAATCAAACCAACAGGTCAGACAAGCATGGCGACACAAACCAGTGATGTCAGCATTTGAAAGGCAGCTGCAGCACAGCCAGGAGTTCAAGGTCATCTTCTGCTACAAAGTGAGTTCTAGGCCAGCCTGGGCTGAATCAAAGTCTATCTCAAAAACACAAACAGAACAGGCCAGCAGATAGCTCAGCAGGCAGAGACCCATGCTGCCAAGCCTGATGACATGGGTTCAATACCCAGAGCCTTCATCAGAGGAGAGAACCAGCTCTGGAAAGTGTGTATCAGGGCACACACACTGCCTCCTGGCACTCATATTCATACACACATACACAGCTTAAGAAATTATTTAATAAACACAAGACAACAGTAACAAAAAGCTATCGATCCAGAAGGCGGTGGGGGGAAGACATTTAGGAACACATGAGTTTAGTTGATAGAAGGCAGAGAAATGGGACTCAAAAGATTCTTTTGTGGGGGGCAAACCCTCAATTTTAGCCCAGAGGTGGTGGTGAACGCCTTTAATCCCAGCAGGCAGGCAAATCTCTGTGAGTGTGAAGCCGGCCTGGTACAGAGTGAGTTCCAGGACAGCCAAGGCTACAGAGAGAAACCCTGTGTCAAAAAAAAAAAAAAAAAAAGAAAAGAAAACGAAAAAGAAAAAACCAAAACACCCAAAGCCAACCCTCTCCCCACAAAAAAAGTCTCAATTTTAAATAAGTATGTCTGTCTATTACAAGGAAAACATCAAAATTCATACTGTGATATAGTGGGAGTATCGGCCGCTGACTTCCCTTGGGGGAGAGTCACTTGGCAGGAGTCAGCCTGTGTTAAAGCACAGTAACACGTTCAGCCCATCTATTCTGCTCCCACCATCTGTGCCCAGAGAGCTGAACACACACGGAAGCATGGCCATTGCCACATCACTTAGAAGAAAGCAAAGATCAGCTGAAGGACTGCCATCAGGGGGAAGAGGGAATGAACGGGGAAGAGTGAACTCAGACTGGGTTCCTGTGTATGAGTCTGGAAAATGGGGTCAATCTTCACATATCTGAAGAGAGCTTTCAAAGAGAGAAATGCTATTTGAAGAACCACTTGTAAAATATTATTAACTCAGGGGGCAACCTATGTATATGTGTATAAACATGCACATTCGTGTAAAACTACCTATACATCTACACAGACACACACACACACAGAGTTACTGACTAACAGTGGGGGAACTCGCACTGGTGCTCTATCTGGCTATAGGGTTTTGCATTGTTTATTTATCTGCTGTTGAAGAGTGATGGGGGACCAGCTCATGCAGCTAGAAGGGGTTTTACCACTGTTGCCTCCTAAGGTCATACACCCCACCCCAGTATTTTACCAAAAGAGGCAGCAATTTCCCAGGCAAGTACAATCAAATAGAAGTGAGTATAAGCTACTTCCCTGAAGCTGAGGTTACAAGCACTGAATTTACAGAAATGCCCTGCAGAAATAATGTAAATGGCCCTGAGAGAACAGTGCCCCTGCCAATGATACAGCTCATAGTACTATTAAAATGGTCTCTAATAGCTCATACATTATAAATCGTTTCCAAAATTTCTTGTTTCTTCCCACACTTTGCTGTTTTCTATAGCTAGCTTAGAAATTGGAAAGGCAAAGCAAATTAATGCTGAATAAAACACGGGATACATCCTTACTGCTAAAAGTGGCCTTAAGTTACTTTCTAGAATCATTTTAATTTTAAATGATGCTTTTATTTATTCTTTGAGAATTGCATAAAAACATATTTGGATAATGTTCTTTTCCTTCTTCCAAGTTTTCCCAGCTTCTCCCCATTTTCCTAACCACCCAACTTTGTATTCCTTCTTTCTTAAAAACACAAAGCAACAACAAAAGCCCACATTATCAAGTGCTTAGGAAGATGGTGGGAATTAACTCAAGGTCATGCAATCAAAATGCTTCGCACAGTGACACAGCTTACAGGCACAGTCATCTTGCCATCAGAGAGGCTTTTCAGCTACTGAATGTGCACAGGCTCCATGTGGGGCACTATAAATACCCAAGTGAGCTGGTGCGCACCAGTGCATTGGGAGTGAAGACTTGGCCTTCACTATACAGAGCACGGAGTCTAATAGAGAAGACAACAAATTTTAGAAATCACTTCTACAGGCGATCGGTACTGGAGATAACTGAGACCAGGAGACACAAGCGCTCATGAAAAGGTTAGTTTGAGGGGCCTTCCCACAGAGGTAACAGCTGAGGTGTCATCTGTAGGATTAGGTCATAGTAACTAGGAGGGTGAACTAGTGAGTGCCAGGAAAAGGAGGGGAAGGGGAAGGGAGGGAGGAGAGGCTGACATGGGCTCTTATGACAGAGGCTGAAAGATAAAAGTCAACTGGGTTAGGGGCTGCCCAGGGGAAATAAGCTGGGGCTAGACTTTTCTAGGAGGCTTGTAGGCTGTGTTAAGAAGTTTGGTCTTGGTGGGGTGGTGGTGGCACACGCCTTTAATCCCAGAACTCGGGAGGCAGAGGCAGGTGGATCTCTGTGAGTTCGAGACCAGCCTGGTCTACAAGAGCTAGTTCTAGGACAGCCTCCAAAGTCACAGAGAAACCCTGTCTCAAATGTCCCACCCCAGAAGAAGAAGAAAAAGAAGAAGGAGGAGGAGGAGAAGGAGGAGGAGGAGAAGAAGGAGAATGAGGAGGAGAAGGAGGAGGAGGAGGAGGAGGAGAGGAAGAAGAGGAGGAGAAGAGGAAGAAGAGGAAGAGGAAGAGGAGGAGGAAGAAGAAGAGGAAGAGGAGGAGGAAGAGGAAGAGGAAGAGGAGGAGGAGGAGGAAGATAAAACCAGAAGAAGAAATAGTATCAGTAGTAGCTGCAGCAGTAGTTTGGTCTTTATCCTGAAGACAATATGGGACTTCCAGTGGGAGTGGAGTAAAACAGCCAATCAGGTAATCTCCTTCTGGTGTGAATCACAAACTGGCTGAGGGTGTGGGAGCTAGTCAGGTGACCCAGTTGTTACAAAGGGAGAAAACAATGTTTTAACAACTACTGTGGTGACTAATCTTCACTGTTAGCGGGAACAGGATTCCAAAGCCCTTTGAGGACATCTTTGGCATGACTATGTGGGTATTTTCATGGAGTTTTAACTGAACAGAAAAAACACACCTTAAATGTGGACAGCATCATCTCACTAGTGTGTGTGTGTGTGGGGGGGGTCCCACAATGAAGAAAAAGGAAAACAGTGAAACAGAACAGTTTGAGCAGCCCCTTCCTCTCCTTCCTCACTGAGGACACACAAGGCAGGCTAGCTCAGGCTCTGGCCAAGACTGTACCTTGAAACAGTGAGCCAAAACTGAGCTCTTATTTCCCCAAGTTGCTTTTGACACAGCAAGGAGAAAAGTAACTAATAAAACTATTATTTACAATATAAATCAAGTTAGAACTAGTTCAAATGTCCAGTATCAATAAGTTATAAACATAATGAATTACTATGTAGCAATAGAAAAGAATGAGGATTATACATATATATCATTATAGAGTTCTCACCAGGATACATTATTAGGTAGCATGCATTTACTGTTTCTTTTTGGTGCTGGGGATTGAGCCCAGAGCAAGTGCATGCTGAGTAGGTGATGTGCCAAGGAGCTGCACCCTCAATCCTGTATTTGTCTTTTTAAAAGGAAACACTAAGGCAATGGGTGGGGGATGGGGAATGGGATGTGCTTCTAGGGAAAGTCAGCAAACATGGTTGAGGAAGTGTAAGTAGAGACTGAAAAATTGTCTTATAAATTTGACCTTGAAACCATACATTCATAACTATAAGGCAAAATTAAATTTAAAAATCAACTCAGAAATACTGCAAATGAAACCAATGAATCTATGTATTGAGTTAATGGCATCATCCTATAAAAAGGAATTAATTAATTAGACCGCATAAAACTGTATGCCTTGGGGAGACAGCTATTGGAAAAAGAAATTGCAAGCTGTTTTTGCTAATCCTGTTGATACTGCTATCTTGCTGCTGTCTCAACAGTGCTGTGTTCATAATGATGAAGAGTGGAAAAGAACCACCATCCCCAGTGCCTGATGACTGAGAGCTTTGGTTTTCTATACAAGCTAAAAACGAAAATAATTGCAAAAATATTTAAATGGTCTTTTAGTAATCATACGACTGGCAAAAGTGTTGCATTTTTGTCTATTTTATCTCTTTTTACTTAAATTAGAAACAAGCTTGTTTCACATGTCAATCCCAACTCCCTCCCCCTTCCCCAGCCCCCCACCCAACCCCCACTCTGTTCCCCAGGGAGGGTGAGGCCCTCCATGGGGGATCTCATTTTTATTGAATAGCTACTGGGGTGTAAGGCAGAGAAAAAGAGCAGCTCTCTGTCCTTGTAGTCTTGAGAACTGGAATTCCAGGTGTATGAGAAAGATGAAAGGGAGGCAAAACCCCTGTGGCCTTGACCTTTGTTACTGACATCACGGTCAACCAACCCATAGCGTCTTTCATCTTGAGAAAAGAAAAGGGAAAAAAAATCCTTCATTTGTGTTAACTGAAAATATCTGGAAACAATGACCAAGATGGTAGCGACCTTCAATCAAGATTATGGTTTCTAAATCCTATGTTTTTACTTAAGTAATGGGGGTTCCTTAGGGAAACAGATAAACCCTGATCCTGTGGCTAAATATAAGGTAGGTGGGAAGTATTCTGCCTACCCCTGGCCAAGATGAAAATATCCACGTTAGATATCAGTCATTTTGGGTTAATGGGGTGGAGTGAACGGATGTTAGAATTAGCAAATAAAGAGCCATGTGCTTGTCTGCTTTGTTCCTATACAGACTGCATCTTAGGTTAACCAACTGATAGGACTTCTCCCAATTGATGCCTTCTTGCTGTCAAATAAATAATAGAATATTAGAATTTTCAAATTCTTAAGAAGTAATGGACTAGGTCATGACCTAATGAAAATCGTACAATGAAACAACTATCATCTATGAAGAAGAGTTACAAAAAAACCCAACTCTGGCCAATCTTTTAATTAATTACATGACTTAGAGACAAGGTCTCATATTGCTCACACTGGTCTCTGAAGATTTGCTGCATAGCCGAAGATGACCTTGGCTTTCTGTGTCTCTTACTTCTTCCTCCAGGAGCTAGGATTACAGGGATCAAATCCAGTGCCTCATTCATGGTAGGGCAGCATTACCCAACTAGGCTACCCCAGCCCTCTGATGGAGCTCTCAGATCTCCCGATTAAGACACAAAAACTTCAGGAAATGACGAAGAGGTATTCAGTAACGAAACATTCATGTGCCCAGCAAAATTCAGACTCTATGAAGCTCTTGATGCCAACAAATGTTGCAACAAAGACATAACAAAGAAAGCAAGAAGAGTCAGGACACACAGAGTAAAGATTAACACTTGGAACAGGGCCTGGCGGTGCACGCCTTTAATCCTAGCACTCTGGAGGCAGAGGCAGCTAGATCTTTTGTGAGTTCAAGGTCATCCTGGTCTACATAGTGAGTTGTAAGATAGCCAGGGCTATGTAGAGAGACCCTGTCTCAAGACAAACAAACAAACACCTGGTTAGCTTAAATACAAACTTACTCTGACCTTGACTTAAACAAACTATTAAAAACATCATCCCCAAGAATTATAATCTGACATGAAGTTGTCTCATTTGTATATATTTGAAATACATTTGTATATGTCTATGCTGAATGGTAAAACAATAAAACATCAATTAACTTATATATTGAGTGCTCACTACATATATATACAAGACACTTTTAAGCACTTACTTAAACTATCCCCTTGGGTGGGGGTGGAGCCTAAACTGGTGAGAGTGTCTGACTACTCAATGCCCTGCCCAGCATGGCAACAAATGAACAAAAACCCCATTAGCACCCTGCCAGGAAGCTAGTACCTATTGCTGCTACAAAGAAGAAACCAGGACAGAGTGCTTAAACACCTTGTCCAAGGTCACAGAGCTAATACATTATGCCTTCAGGGAATAAGTAGCAGAGTATACTCTAAGTAATGGGTTTATCACCCACATGTCTGGATGAGGGGAACCTTGAGTCCAAAACTTTTTTTTTAAACCTATGTATATAGTACCTCTCATAACAGGAGGACTAGGGTTGTGATAATGGATAGAAGTGGATGGCTGAGGAGGCATCTAGAAGGTGAAGGTGAAACTGACCAGACTCCATGCAGAGCTGGCTGAACAGGCAGTTAAGTAAGGTTCAGGGGAGAGTCCAAGGTCTCTGTGAGGTTTCCAGCTTTCACAGTGGGATGGATGGCGCCACTGTCCAGTGGAATCAGAGATGTGAGCGCTCAGGTCTAGAGGGTAAAGATGACTTGTGTCTGGAGCATGCCCAGTGTACAGTGCCTTTGGGACACTTGGGTGGGGTCACAGGTCATACAGGCAGGCTCCCTTAGATGTTAGTTTACTTTTTCCTTAGAATTGTGTTGGGGTTGGGGACTTATCTAGTTTCGAAGAGTAGCTGAGTATGTTGTTTTTTATTTTTGTTTTTCTCCCAGATGTATCGTTGAAGGAGTCACCTGTACCTCTTGTAAAGCTACGTTTACTCCATTGTCTAAGGAAACTCAGGTGGGGACAGCACTCATTCAGCCAGACCTTGATTGTCTTCTGTGTTCCTCCTGGATTAAGAGCCCTGGAGTCATCCACTGTCCACTCCGCAGACACACAGTCTTGATTCTTCCCACTCTTGCATCAAAGGGACGGAACATAAAAAGAAGAGCCAAACTACTCGCTTGAGGCCACAGGGGTGTAAAGCAGCAGTCCACATTGCTAGTCTGTGCTCTGCCATCTCTGCCATGGTGCCTCTGGTTTGCACAGCAAGGGTGAAGACCGGAGTGGTTTACGGTCATGGCTTCCTTGTGCAGACCACCACAGTGAAGCAGCCCTTTGGACGTGCTTTTCCTTTTTAATTGATTCATTGATGTGTGTGGAGGTCAGAGGACAAGTTTTTGGTAGTCTGTTCTCTCCTTATGGGTCCTGGGGATTAAACTTCCTAGGTTCCCAGGCTTGGCAGCAAGCACCTTTACCCACTGAGTCATCTCATTGGCCTCCTGTTGTACTTTTCATCCAACATTCCATTGCAACGTATGGAACAATTCAGTTAGGTGCTAGCATATTTCAACACTTCTGCTTTTGTCTAAGATAGTATGCACCTCAGGCTCAATATTGAGCAAATAGGAACAATTTATAGCAGAAATTTAATTAGCATCTTATTTTCATTCTAGATATTTTGAGGGCTACGTCCTATTTTTTTGTGATAGTAGTGTTTCCGTGTACCCAGAAACATAGACTTTTTTTCCAAAATAAATTTAAGTAGAATAAATTAGGTAAAAGAACACTGATATCAACTTGATAATTAATTTAACCGGGTTGAGAGACCCCTAGGCTATTAGTAAAGCACACCTCGGGGTGTGTCTGCTGGGGTGTGTCTAGAGGACTAGCTGATAGGATAAGAACTGCCTTAGATGTGGGTAGCACTACTCCCTAGGCTGGGCACAGGTGGAAGAAAGGGGGAGAAGCAGCGTGTCTGTTTCCTGGCTGCAACGAGGTGAGCAGGACTCTTCCATTCCACACTCCTCCCACCACAACATTCTGTCCTATCTCAGGTCCAGAGAAATGGAAGCAACAGACCATGGTCAGAAACATAGGAACCTGTGAGCAGAAATAAATCTTCCTACCACCAGTCTCTCACAGGCATTTGTGACAAAAAGTACCATGAACACTCCCACACACATAGGAGTAATGGTGGTTCTGAGAAATGGAAGCAACTCACCCAAGGAAGCCACTCTGATGGCTGACCTCTGGAAAGATGTTGTTTACCTCCTCACCCTCACCATGGACCACCCCACTGCCCTTACCTAAGAGTAACGGCAGGCAGCTTCTCACTTAAGTATAGTTTCTGTTCACTGGTGGCCAAATCTCTGTAGCAAGCTTGCTGCAGACCCCTAATGCCTTAAGTCAGACGTTAACTTTAGTCTCCATTGATCAGACTGGCATAGTCTTTGGCTGTCCACTGGATAGCCTATCTAGGCTTCAAGAAAGAAACACGGCAAAAGGCATGTAACTAGTAAGTCATGACAGAGCACACCTAAGACACTGGGTTATTTTGAGAAATCTTACAATAGATGTTTTGTTTTCAGATAGGGTCTTATGCATCCCAGACTGGTCTTGAACTCATGAGAAGCTGAGGATGACCTTGAACTTTTGATCCTCCTTGCCTGAAACAGCCTGAGTGCTTAGACTACACTGCCCAGTGGTTAGGGTTCTGAAATGGGCCTGCATCCTACCAGCTGAGCTCCAGCCCCTCCAGTTGGCATCTTAAAACTAGTATATACTCTATTATTAAATGTATCGACTACTCCTATTTTCATCTAACTTTCTTCCCTAAAACTCTAATCCCCAGTTTGTATGATGATGCAGTGCCTGCCCTCCTGTCCTAAGACAGAAATGTATTCATTAGATTTGTGAAAAGTGGATGTATATGGTGGCCTTTAGAAACATTATTATGAGTTCTTCTAAATATAGACAAAAGCAATAAAAACTCCCAACTCCATGTGTATCTTAAAAGACATCATTGTCACATAAAATAATTCTGCCTGTGTATCCCCAAGGAACTGAAAAGCACATTATAGTCATTGTAACCCTGCTGGGCAGAGACTGTATCTTCTCTATTCTTTGTTATGCCTGATGCTATCTATTCAGCATATTAATAAAAAAAAGAAATCTGTATCTAACATAATAAGTCTGCCTCCTCTCGTTCTTTTCCCACGAGCACCAAAGGCCAGTTCTTTTCCAGACTAGACTCCAAAGACTGAACGCATTAGGTTTAGGGCTTGCAAAGTATCCTTTAAGTGAAGGTGGTAAATATTCCTGTTGTTTGTAACAAACAAAAAATGACAATTAAGCCTTCCTAAATCTACAAGGTCAAAAAGACATGTTCCAGTCTTCTTGAGGGGGGTACCCTAGCCCAGCGCCCACGGTGATTGCTGCAGCTACGAAAATCCCGACTTCATGGTGGATGGGGCACAGAAAGAGGCCTGATGTGCACTCGGGACTCAGGACATAATCTCACTCTGAAACAGGAAGTCATCCCCTCTCCAGTACGGAAGAGTTGATGGTTTGGGGCAAAGAAGGTGTGCATATGGAAGGGTGGTGGTGCGGGTCCCCCTCAGGGATACAGCAGAGTTCTTTGGGTCCCCCAGAGCCTGGCTCCTGGCCCTGCCCAGACCATTGTCCACACACCTCGTCCCTCCAGCTTCCGGGCCGCCGGCGAAATGATTTGCTGCAGATGACATCAGCCCTGGGCCAAGGGCTACAGGAGTGGAGGCAGCTACCACGAGGATGTGCCGAGTGGTCCTTTCCTCCTCCTCTTCCTCCTCCTCCTCCCAGGCTCCTAGCCTAGTCTCCATATAAACGGCACCGCCTCCCCGGCCTCTCACTCCCCGCTCCTCTCTTCCGCGCCGGGAGAGGGCGGAGGAGGAGGCGACGCGCGCGCCGGGAGGAGGGGGGACGCAGGGGGCGGAGCGGAGACAGCACCTTCGGAGATAATCTTTTCTCCTGCCGCAGAGCAGAGGAGCGGCGGGAGAGGAACACTTCGCCCAGGCTTTAGCAGCGCCGGCAGGATGGCGACCGTGGTGGTGGAAGCCACCGAGCCGGAGCCATCGGGCAGCATCGCCAACCCGGCGGCGTCCACCTCGCCCAGCCTGTCGCACCGCTTCCTAGACAGCAAGTTCTACTTGCTGGTGGTGGTCGGCGAGACGGTGACCGAAGAGCACCTGAGGCGTGCCATCGGCAACATCGAGCTGGGTAAGCAGTCCCGCGGCCCCCCAGGGACGTGCATATAGGCAGATGCGCCAGAACGACCCCACCCAGGGCGCGACGGCCACCTTGTTCTCCCGCGCGCCCCGCACCCACGCCTCTCCAGGCCACCTCCCACACTCCATTTGGACTCTTTTCTGAGCTAATTTCCAAATTATTATATTTGAGACCCAAAAGAGAGAATTTTTAATAGCCCTGAGGGATGGATCACCTGGCTGGGTTTGCGGCCACCGCCGACTTGGCCACCTCCTCTCATGCTCAGTGAAATGCAGGTGTCAGAGGAGGGAGGCCATAATAAAACCGCAACCGCAGGCGGAGAAAGGGTGGGGTGGACCTAGCGCAACCTCTCTTGTCAGCTCCCCTCTCGCCCTAAGCAAAGGCTGGGACCCTCCTCTCCTTACCCGAAAACCTGGGGTTGAAATACCATGTGCCAAGGCCCTCATGTTAATCGTCCTTATCATAGCCACCCTGTGCCACCCACCCCTGACACCACACACACGCACACACGCACACACACACAAACACACTTTCTGAGAATGGTGAATGCCCATTCTGAGGTTAAACATCCAGATCCTTTCTTTCCTGGGAATGACTAGGCTAGTCCTAGTGCCACGCCCGCCTCACCCCACCCCCACCCCCGAGGACACAGGCACGGAACCCGTCTGCACTCGGTTCCCAGACGAAGTCCGGCCTCGTCCTGCCCCTGAGGTCCTGGCTTCAGCTTTCAGAAAGGACAATGGGACCCCAGGGAGCGAGGTGGGCTTCTTTGAAAAGTCTCAGCTTCAGAAACCATAGCTTGAATGGGAAGAGGGGATGGAGTGGGTAGGGCCAGCTCCTGGGCTGCTGCGCGCACCGGGAGCGAGCTCTGCAGAGGCCGAATAGCGGTTCCTGGGGAACCCTGGGCGGGGCTGGGAGGGCCCGGGAGGGCACAGTCTCCGGCGGGCAGCGATCGGCCCCGCCCTTCATTCAGCCCCACCCGGCCTGCCGCAGTGCCCGCACCGGGCAGTCGCACCTGCCCCCGCACTGCGGCGCCCCCGGCTGGCCCGGAGATCACTCTGCCGGAGCTGCGCGTGATCGGGGGCCTTGCGCCCACCTTTGGCTGAGAGCCGCTTTGTTGAGCTCCCAGCCCCCCGGTGGGCAGCTCTGGCCTCTGCCTTATTCCGCCCTCCTCCCCATCCTTCCCTTCACTTCATCCCTGGCAGAGATCGCCGGGTCCCCGTGCAGCGCAGCCTGAGCGCTCTATTCTCTCGGGGTGGTGCTGAAACGTTTCTGCCAGGAGACACCGGCTGGTGGGCGTGGTGCAGTCCGCACTGCGGTCTCTACGGCAGCCCGAGGCGGACAAAGAGCGTTCACGCAGCCCTCCTTTCCCGCTCCCACACACACCAATGAAAGATGGATGAAATGATTTTGGTTTAGATGAATAAATAAATAAACAAAAGCTTGTTACCTGCCTCTGCATTTGGAAATGGCCACTTTTCCCCAGAACAAAAGGCTGCAGGGTGGGGACTGGAGTTGCAGACCCGGTTCTTTTGTTTAACTTTAAAGCACGGATTTTCCCTTTCAGCTAAAAAGAAAAACAACAACAACAACAACAAAAAGTGAGCAGAAAGCCAGTCATGATTTTTCATTCGGGAAAAAAAAATCAAGAATAAGAGATTTCAGAAGTGGAATTCTTTATCTGAACATCTCAGCAATCCATTTTCAGGCTATAAGCCTTTGATCTGCTTCTCAAACTGTGTTTATTTGCACATTTTACTCCTTGGAAAAACTCACACGTACTGATTTTGGGTGTGGCTGTTGTGGGAATTAATGGCTGGGTGTTTTAAAATTATTTTCTTTACCTAGCATTGCTGGAAAATAACGTATTAAGAAGTGTCTTTTCGTCTCCATAATTTTCAGGATCACCCATGGTGGTGCCAGGAGAGGAATCATCACGCCCAGTTTTAGAGGTTGGGGAGGCAGGAAGGGTGAGAGACAGACTCAAGGTCATATTGTGAAGCAGCGACAGGAGGACCGGTACCGCAGTGTCTACTCGCTTGGCCGGGTCAGATGGTGGTGCGGGCAGGCTAACGTCAGAGAAAGATTCAGGGGGCAGTCTTCAGACCTTGTCTTTGTACAGTCATCCACTTGTGGGCAGCGCTCCTTACAGGGAGGCGGCTCGGCCATCACCTGCTGACTACAGTTTTCTTCCTGCTTTGTTACTGGTCTGATCATCCTTTACCAGGGTTTATTCAAGCCTCTTTCTGTCGGAGGAGAAAATATGCAGCCAAGGAATCCTGTGATGTTCGTCCTAGCTTTACTTCGTTTTACACAGCTAGCATTTAGTGCTAAAATCTAGATTTGTCTTTTAACGTAAAAAAAAGTTTCAATGTAAGTATTAGAGAGGGAAAAGCACAGACCATAGGCTAGCAGTTCACTGAATTTTCGAGAAGTGAGCATACCTGTGTTGTCCAGATAAGAAACAGCCGTAGTCATCCCAGAAGCCACCCCGCCCACCAACCCCAATGTTCACTTTGCAATCAGCATGCTTTTCTGATTTTTAATTCCCTAATTTGGTCAGGTTTTTCCATAGATCTCTGAAATGGTTATATCGATCTCACTAAGAATCAGCCAAGTGTGTGAGCACGGCCATTTCCTCCAGGCTAGTAACAGATGTTGCTGACCCTCTGGAGAGGGCTCTCCTGGGTCCTGGACTCTCCTATGCAGCTCACATTGCCCTGCCTTTCAAGGATAAGTGAAAATCCTGCTTCCCAGCTTTTCAGACAGTCGGAGATGACTTAGCAACAGGGAGGCAGGCTCTGTTTCCTTGGCATGACACACTGCTGCTTCAGCTGGCAGATCGCAGCTGGGCCTCCTCCAGAGGTCACTCCGATGCCACTGCTATTGTTGCTGGTGCCTGCAGGCTACATTATGTGAAGCAAGATGGAGCTGCTCCAGGGGGCTCAGCTCTGTGAGCTGCCTGCCGGCTGGGAAAGCAGCTTCTCATTCATTTCCTCTTCCTTTCCCTTCCAAACTCAGGCGCTGTGTGGTTAGAGACCCTGGAGACTGGCGTATTTGCCATCTGATGGATTACACAGGCCACTCTGGAAAAGGGAGAAAATAGTCTCCACCCCTACAGAGAGACGGTAGATAATACAGTAAAGCAATTGGCCCGAAACACCCCAGTATGGATGCTAAGTGCTTCCTGAGACCAGGGAAGAAAACTGGTCACTCTCACTTGCTCAGTTGTGTTTGAAAAGCACAAAGTCAAAGTCAGGGTGGATCATTTCTTCTCCAGAGCTTCAAACAATAGCTCTCCCTTGCACCGGTGTAGCCACACTGATGTAGTTATATGGGACTTGATTCCAAACCATAGTGACCACCTACAATTGACTGATTAGCCCCTCCCTGGCTGGCCCCAGTGTGGAGTTAGCTTGATTTATTTTTAGCAAAATGCTGTCATAGGTATATTTTAATACATAGACTCTATACAGCAGTCCCTGGCAAGCTGAATTTTAAAGCCTGGTGCAATGTGTTTTCACTGTTTCATGTCATTCTTTTAATGAAACCATCTACATGTCAGCTTGACGCTTTCGATTGCTATTATAATGCAACTGTCCCTCTAGGTGACATTGGGAATGAACAAGATGTGCTCGTGAGAAGGCAGATAACTGTAATATCCACTACCTTGGATCTTTAGATGTGTGTTGAGCTGGTTACATTGTAACAGTCTGATGTTGCTTTACCCACTATGGTTCTGTCCAAGATGGCAGTCAGAAAATTACGAGCCTGGGAAAGCTTTGGAATTTAATTTTCATTTTCTTCTAGCAAGAAAAAAAAGTGAAAACCATATATGGTGGGAGTTAAAGAGATGCTAGAATGTGTTACTTTTATTATATTCATCTTCACACTTCCAAAGGCAGAAGGCAGATGGATT